TGCCCGCCCCCAGCCCCGTCCCCAGAGCGGGCCCTGTGCCCCAGCCTGCCCAGCCCCACTGCCGGCTCCGTCCCCCTGCCCTGCGTCCCTGTCCCCACGCCGCCTCTGCCAGCCGTGTTCCCGCTGTCGCCACCGTCTCCCTTCCTCCCATCACCTGGTGCTGCCCCTGCCCGCTTTGCCTGCCCTCCCCTCGGACTTTCCCACCCCTGGTCCAGCCTTTTCCTGCTGGTGGCTCATCCGTGCAGGTCACAGTCACACCACCTGCTGCTCCTGGAGCTGCCCGGGCGCTGCTCTCCTGGCCCTGGAGCCGGTGGGTCGGCAAGGGGCAGCGCCAGCCTGGCCTGCTGTGCCCGCGTCCCCTCACCCCCTGCTCTCCCTCCCTGCAGACTCGGAGACGGGCGAGGATGAGCCCAGCGACCCCCAGGTGACACAGCGCAGCGAGCTCCAGGATGAGACGGCCTTCAGCACCCCGACAGGTGAGCAGGGGGCACCCGGATGGCACCGAGCCCCCTGCAAGGGGCACGGCCACCCTGCAGGGGTTCTGCTGGCTTGGCTATGGGGGTCTCCATGAGTGGGGAGCTATGGCCCACCCATGCAAAGGCAAGAGGGCTTCTTCAGCCTGTACCGAGGACGGGCGCTCTCGCTCCACGTGTAAGTAGCCGGGGGACGCGCGTGGAGGGGACATCGCGCTGGGGCCATCTCCTTCCAACCGCCGCAGCCATCTCCTCCCCTCCACCTGGGCTTTCTTCGCCTTCGCCGTGCCCGGGTGAGGAACGGGAGCTCTGAGCAGTAGGCAGCCTGTTCCTGGTGAGGAGGTGGGAGCAACCTGGGCTGGGGGGGGGTACAGCTCCTTGGGTGAGGCAGGGGGACGTGGAGTGGGATCCCTTTCTGCTGTGGCCAGGTTGGGGCTGGGGACAAGCCCTGCACCGCTGCACGAGCTGCAGCATCCCACCCGCTGGCTGTGCCAGCGGTGTCCCCTGTCCCTCTCAGCCATGGGGGCTCTGCACAGAGCGTGGGTTGTGGGGACCTGGGGGTGCAGGGCAGCCTGGGACACCCACTGGGACACAAGCTGCCTGCCCAGGAGCCGCTGACGTGCTCAGAGCCCCCTGTCCCTCCCCACCACCTTTGATCCCCATCCCTGCAGGCCTGCTCCTTTGACTTCCATCCTGCCCTTTTTCGTTTGAGGCTGCTTGTTCCACCAGAACTTCATCTCCACCTTATGATTTCTGCACCGCAATTGCCACGATGCTCTGAGGGCAACGGGGTGGGGGGACATGCCTGCAGCAGCATGTGCATGGGGGGTGGTTGTAGCCTCAGGGACCCCTCCCACCTTGTGGAAGACCTGCCCTGTGCCGCACTGCCCCGGCACGCTGGGACACCCCAGCAAAAGGCAGCACCCCCCAGCCCCGGGTCCTCTCCGCATGGAGGCCCCAGGGAGGGGACTCACTGGGTATCCCAGCATCGCCCCGCTGTCCCACACAGGTAGCCCTGGGCAAGGGGACACTGCTGTGCCACAGCAGCCCGGGACCCTCACCCAACCCAGCCAGCTCCCGGTGGTCTCATGGTGGTCAGATGCCCTCGTCAGAGCCCCTCGAGGATCCCCGGTCCCAGGGGTGGCCTGGCTGCCTGCCCCCCTTGCTGTGCTCCATTGGGCACTGTGGTGCACGCTGGGAGCGGGGATGCAGCCAGGAGGTGAGGGTGGGCTCTGAAC